TAGTCCCCTGACTCCCGGTGAACACGGTTTATCCGTGGAAGGAGGGAAAGAACTCCTACATCTAGAGCAGGGTCTCAGCCTCGGCACTGTTGACATTTGGGGCTGGATGGCTCCTTGCCACGGGGAGGGTCCTGTGCATCGTGGGACGTCTGACAGCATCCCTGGCTCCTATGCACTAAGTATCAGTGGCATCCCCCATCCCCACCCCTGGTTACGACAGCCAAGAATGTCTCTAGACGTTGCCAAGCGTCTGCTGGAGGACGAACTCTCCCCCGTTTAGAATCACTGATCTAGAAGGGATGGACGTTCCATACCTTTCTCCTGGGCTTCCCACCCACCTATCCCCATCTGTTCCCTCAAAATAGAAGTTTCAGAGTGAGATGTGTGGCAGACATGCTGCTTCTCAGCCGTGGAGAAAGCCCCTGCTCTGAACTCTAGAAACTTCTGTCTCTGATGACGCCTTGCAAATGTGTGGTCAGAGGTGGCAATCCTTTCACTTATTGGAACATGACCACTTTATTCTCCGCCAGTGTGTCTTCTCTTTCTGGTTTCTTATTAAGTTTGTGGAGAAGTTTGTGTCTGTCCTCTGCCATCTTTCACAGCTGTCTCGTCTCTCAGTCCCCGATCTGAGTCTTTTCCCTGCATGTCTGATGGAGAGATGTCAGGTTTCAGTAAGATTATAATTAAATCTATAGTCAACTCTGATCAGATGGCATTAAACAGAGGAACACGGAACAAGGAACAATGTTCTCTAAAAGGAGAAATATTTTTACATGAATATTTTGGTATTTGTTAACGTACTGGAGTTAATAGAGAGGTGTAGGAGGTGCTGAATAGAAATCCAATTTGTAGTGATTATTCCCAAATTAAGATTAGCACAGAAACCTGTCTGGAGTGGGAGGCGAAGTCTGCTGTTCCAAAGAAGAGGTTTTTAAAGGTGTGGGTGGGGAGAGTGAGAGAAACTGAACGTAAATGTTCTTGCAACACGAATAAGAAAGAGCCTGCGGGTCTCCTGACAGCCAGGAGCATCCGTCTGGAAGGAGGCCCAACACTCACCCCAGAGAGGACCGGCGGGGGCCGTTCCCTAGTCCCGACCCTGCCAACTTCCCTTAAATGCATCGGGTAGCTTGCAGCTTGCAAAAAGCTTTTGTGTATTTAGCGTTAATGCTCAGTTGCATGTAACAAAGACCCAAAACATCAGTGACTTTAAAAGGATAGAAGCTCAGATATAAGCCATTTGTGGCCAGTATGGTCCCTCTATAGTCACTGAGGACCCAGGCTTTGCTTAATTTCTACTCCAGCAAACTTAGAATGTGGCCCTCATCCTCATGGCACAGGATGGAGCCCCATCCATCATAACAGAGTTCTAAGCAGTAGGATAAAGGAAGGGGCTCTTGTAAGTCAGGTTCCCCAGGAGGCAAATTAGACAGATATTTGCATACAGGAAGTTCATTGGGATGTATACCTGAGGTCAACAAGTAACAGAAGTATGAATGGGCAACAGGAGAAGTTGGACTGTGATGCCTCAACACAAGGCCTTAGCCAGTCCCACAGGAAATTCTGCACTCAGATGGCCCTCAAGAGTTTTCCCAAACTGGGGCAAGGGGATCAGATCTTTGCATGCTCACTTTACCCAGTCACCCGACGCAAGCTGCCCCAGGAAGCGGCGTCCCTTTGGGTGGGGCGGCTCCCTTAGCCAAGGACAATCACCCGGAAGAGGGACTCGGTGAAAACTGTCAGCACTCAGCATTCCTTGCAGCTGGGACATAAGTGCTTCAGCCCTGAGCGTGGCAGAAATCTGGATGGCAAACGACAGAGTCCTCTACGGTCCACCCCCGTGCCACTCAGATCACTTGCTTTGTAAAAGTGCTGAGAGACGCTCCTTCAGGATTCTGGTGGACCTCTTTTCCTAGGGAAAATCTACAAAGAGAAAGTAATCAAGTGAACTATGGCTTTGCCACTGAGGCTGCTACTCAGCAGCTCCTTCCTCTGCTACCCCTCTGAGATCCTCCCACTCTGAGGAAGCACCTCTTCTGAGCTAGGTGGTTTCCTTTTGTGGGTTACCCTGCAGTTTAAGCCCCTGGTCATTAGGCCATTCTCAGGCTGTCACTGCAACACCTGACCATTTACCATCAAATCTGGGCAGGGGAGAAATAAGAGACGCTCCTGTGGATCACTTTGGTGCCAAACATATACATCTTTGCCCCCTTTGGATGGCAGGAGCCCTAGTTTTCGTTTGATGGTGAGAGTCAGTTATCATTGCCAAGACGATGATTCCTTTTTTCCCCATTAGCATAAAGAGCCCAAAGGGAGCAGGCAGTGGTCCTAATTTGAAATTTAATGGAATTCATGTTATAGCTTTGATGGAATCATGCCTCCCGTTCCTGCCAGAGAGTCAAGCCCTCTAAATCCACAGAGTCCAAAGTTGTAGGAAGAGGATGCAGACATTCCCCGCGTGGGTCATCGAGGGTGACATCGGCAGGCCTCTCTTCCTCCACCTCTTAGTTCCTAGACTCGTATCCTAGGGAATCACTGAAGTCTTCTGAGTAGAGAAACGGCAATTGCAAAGTTGCGCTGTTGAGCAGAGGCCATGAAGGAAAGCATTTAAAGCAGGAAGACCAGTGATGAGGCTGCTAGAACCGTCCAGGCAGGAAATTATGTGGCCTAATCGTGGAATATTATTAGAACCTGACATTTCCTTCAGCAGGAAAGCCAGCCCTTGGCATCCAATTAGTGTCTCTGGGTACCTCAGGAGGCATACTGCAGGTTAGGAAAGACATTTGTTAAGCTTTCCCTGCACTCACAGAGGCAAAACTATTACAGCAACATTCCAAAAATAACCCAGCCAAACTGGCGAGCTGCAGCTTGGCTGTACGTCAGCTCGATCAGTGAGACACAGAAATATTGCTACTCCAAGAAGACAGCCAGGCAGGTAGACTCTCTCTCTCAGCTCCACCCAGAGTGGGGCCAAGGATTCTTCTCCGAGCCCTCTGCTTATTCCTCTGTTCTGGAACATTTACCACCATCCGCCCGAAAGTTAAGGTGTTGACGCGTATGGCTGCTCCTGCCCTGGGCTGCAGCCTCAGGGAACAAGAAGCTCTCCCTGCACTCTTCTGTACCTGGGACAGTGCCTGTTGCAGCCCCCGACCACGAGAGCGAGCTCAGTAACTTTTGAATGGAACTGAAAAAAACTTTGCAGGTGAGATCACTGAACTGCTATCAGTGATCAACAATATTAACCATAATAACAATGACAGGGAACATTGAAGGGGGGGCTCCTATGGGCCAGGCACACGACTAAAGGATTTACATGCATTATCTTATGTAAATCCTTCCCAAAACACTATAAAGTAGGTATTGTTATCACACAGAAAGAGAGCTAAGTAACTTGCCCAAAGCCACCCTGCTGCTAAGTGGCGGTCCCATCTTTCAAAAAAAGACAGGTGGATGCCACATAGTATGGCCAGTGAATATGGCACCAATCTCAGGTAACATTCCAAATATGTCTGTGGGATTAATGGCTTCTAGCCACTATTAGGTGATTACTAGAACCTAGCAGGAGTTCATTAAAAACAAGCGATGCTAGTTAACCTCATTTCTTTTCCAATTATACATTCCACACGTATCAGTTAAGTCCTTTGTGTGTGCCAGACACTGTGCTGGGTGCGGCTCTTAAATGCTGAACAGGGCACAACTTCTGCCCTCAGAGGACTATGGAGCAGTGGAGGACAAGGAGAAATAAAGCCGTTGCAATACCCTAGAGTAAGCAGAGGGTGCTATGAAGCCAGCGTGGAGCTCCCGGCAGACGAGAGAGTAGGAGTTGCTCTGTGAACAGTGAGCTATAATTGGGATGCGTGTTAGGTTTTGGGTTGTTTGGGTTTGATAAAAGAAGCGATGAGTATTTCAAACAGAGCAGTTGTTATGCTCAGAAGCCCAGATGTGAAAAATTGTGTGATGTCTTCTGGGGACTGCACATAGTTTGGTATGGCTAGAGCAACATCTCCTAACTATGGCTGCACATTAGAATGACCTGGAAGGAGTAACAGAATGCCGATGGCTAGACCTCTCGTCAGCAGCAGGACCAGAATCTCTGTCTAGAGCAGTGAAGGGAAGACAGTGGGCGACGAAAGATGGGGCTGTGGTGGGACAGGGCTGAGAACATGAAGATCCTTGACTGGCATATTAAGGAAACTGGACTTTGTCCTGGGGCAAAGGAGAGCCAGTGGCAGGCATCTCTGTGTCTGCAACACAGGACAGGAATTGGGGAGGTCATGGCTGGAGGTGGGAGCCCAGCCAGGAGGCTGTACTCTCTTTAGGTAAGACATTACCTAACCCAGAAGTAGTAACCTTGGGTATTGGTATTTGGAGAAGTGAACAGTTTAAGAGATACAGAAACAGAATGAGTAGAACACGGTGACTGACTGGATATGGGCGGCTAAGAAGAAATGGAAGAAGAGAGTGATGGCCATGTTTCTGATTTGATCAGCAAAGTCAGTGGAGGTACCATTTACTGACATGAGAAAGCCTAGGGGAGATGCTGCTCACTGGGGCAAGAGCTGAGTGAGTGGGTAACAGGTTTCGTTTGAGATGTGATGTTCTTTCCTTTCTGCTCCTTTCCCCAAAACCTGTCCTCAGAAAGAGTTCTGGTTAAGTCCATGACACCATGGAAGTCCGTACTGGTATCAGGTTTTGCCCATTCTGAGATGTTAGCCTTATGGCAAAGGACTTCCTAGATGGTAGCACTTCAGGTGTGCACAGCGCCACCAGGCTGGGTGGAGTGTTCCCTTCTCCAGTGTGGAGAAGGAAACCACCCCAGCATCCCTGAAAACTCTCGGCACCAATGGCCACGTATGCAAATTCTGGCCTCGCACCCCCAACCCTGATGCCCACCCTCCAGCCACATGCTCCTCTGAGAATTTCACACATCCCTCTTACGTAGGCATTTATTTTCAAGGAACTGAAGGTGTCATCACAGTTTCTCTGTCATCCCTCCTCCACAGCCGCTGCCCTCTTCCCGCAGAGCTTCCAGCATCTCGGCACAGGAGAGAGTGCACCTGCCTCTAGAAATACAAAACCCACTGCCTCTGAGCATAGGTGCGGTGATGTCAGCTGGAGCCCCAGGACCAGAACAGCCTCACCCCGCCTGCCTCACCCTAAGACCGTCTTCTCTGCTTCTCAGCCTGCCCGCCAGATGGACGGGTTTGCTCGTGCCACGCTGGACTTTGACAGGAAGGAGCTGGAGCCCCTCCCCTGGCCGCCGGGCCGTGGGACTTAGCCATCACCTCCTCCTCTCACTCCCTTCAGGGGCAGAAAAAATGCAACAAGTAGGCAGCAATAAAGTATAAACATGAATATAAGGAACTCCTACAACTCGATAGCAAAATAAATAAATAAATGTGCCAATTAAAAAATGGGCCAAGACTCAAATAGACATTTCTCCAAAGAAGACATACTAACGACCAGCAGATACATGAAAAGGCGCCCAGCATCACTACCTGCCAGGAGAGTGCAAACCAGAAAGGGGCCTGCAGAGCATTCTGTGGTAAGAGCTGCTGTGTAGGATGTCACGGAGCATGCGAGCTCGAGCGGAGTGGTGAAAGGACCATCCTGCGGCATGGAAGGACAGGGAAGTGCAGGCCACGCTGGGGGACAGGTTCAAAACAGCCTTGAGCCAAAACTCCGGCACAGCTCACCCCAAATCTGTGCGGGTCCCTGGCCCTGTGATGGGCTTCTGCAGCAAAACAGACCTGCTACAGGACCAGAGAACAGGGCCATGGACAGTGGCCTGGGGGTTGGAAGGACCCGCTTCTCCAGAGGACACAGCTCCTGCTGGCACGATGAGTCGGGCTTGGACATGGAGCCTACAATGAGTGGAAGGGGTGGAAGGTCCTCCAAGCCTCGTCCCAGAGGGCATCCGAGTAGCCCTAAGCAGAGTGGCTGGGGACGAGGGCACAGATGAGGGAAGTCAGGCCACAGGCACAGCTGGTTCTGTAGGTGAGTGGCGGGGCCCCCAGGGGACGGGACCAAGGTCTAAGGCAGAAAGGCACCAGGACCCAGCCACGGGGGCTGTAGTTGAGGGCAGGGAAACCAAGACAAGGCCAGAGTTCCGGAGCCTCGCTGCAGGTCTCTGGGAACCCCCAGCCCCACAACGTAGTCTCTAGACTGAAAACAGGGGCCCTGAGGTCACACAGAGAGAGACCCTCCCCTCCCAGCTCTCAAACAAGTCAAAAGGCCAAGGTTTCCGGTGGACAGAAGCCTTCAGAATGCACACGTGGTCCTCATGAGGGTCGGGGTGGGGTGACTTGTCACCTGGTAGAGAGCAGCAGAATTGTCCCCCAGCCCCCCAAGGCCCTGGGAATGTCAAATAGCAGTAGATTGCTCTCCGAGGACAGGGGTCCTCAGCTGCAGGGCTGTATTTTGCTCGCGGGGCATGTGCAGGTATGAAGCCTGGGGATGAAAGAGAGATGAGGCTGCACCCCCAGCCCCTCCTTCTTCTCTGCTCCTCCCACATTCGAACGTAGCCCCTTCCCTAAATTATTTTTGAACCAAATTGCCTTAGGACTAGTGTATGAAAGGGGCCAAGTTACTGCTGCGCACACATCCTGTTCCAGCTGCCCCTGTGCCGCTGCTGTGGGTGAGCTGCGGATCTGAGCCTCAGAGGGATGGCGGGCTTGGAGAAGCGGCACCGTGCCCGGACTCCGAAGGCCGGGGTGGCGTCCTCACTCCTTTACAAATGACCCCTGAGGACCCAGGCCAGTGTCCCAGTGTTGCAGTGTTGCCTAGCCAGACTTTTCGTATCGCTCTGAAAGAACCACTGAAGCCCACAGAGCAAACAAGAGGTGGTAACCCCACACATCTGAAGTCCAGAGAACCCCACGCGCTGGGCCAGTCCCCGGCAGCAGGGCTGACCTAGAGATGCCCGTCTGGAGACGCAGACTCTTAGCACGCCGGCCCCTGGGACGGAAGGGAAGGCAGGCGATGAGGAACGGAGCTGTCGCAGAAACGCTGCATTTGTGAAGAGAAAGAGTTCTGTCCTCCTCTTTCCTGTGGGAGTAGGAAACGGGGTGTCTCCTCCTCAAGGAAAAGGAGGGAGGTCCCCAGGGAATGTGTAAATTTGGGGGCTGTTTTCAAGATGAAAAGAGTAGATTCGGTTCTCTTGTTAGACACCTGCTTGGTCTCCAGACTCCAGCCACCCGTGTGACCCGGGCTGGGAGGAACTGTCTGGAGGAGGAGGGTGTAATGGGAGCCACAGCCGGGAAGACAGGCCAGGGCCATCCCTTCTGGCCACCAAGAGGGTGGAAAATGAATCCCGCCTAGGGTAGCTGGTGGCCTGGGGGTGCCGGCCAGGCAGAGGGACAGCCGCCAGGAGATGTGAAGAAAGCCTCTGCCTTCTCTTCTCCCCTCCCACATCCAGCGCAGGATGGTGGAGGCGGGGACCAGTGAGGGCAGACCTCACCCTGCCCCTCACCCCAACCCAGCCTCCAGCCCTCATCCTAAACCCTAGTGCTCCAGTCTCACCTTCTCTGGGGAAAGAGAGAAGAGCTTTAAATAGATGTGAGAGCAACGTTTTAAAATGAACAGAGCTGCGTGCTTGCTAATTTCAAGTGCCTGAACTTTCTGGAAGTAGGCTGAGCCATCACTCTGAAAGCTGCTACCCAGAAGGAAAGGCCTTCATCATGACACAGCCAGGGCACTCACCAGAAAAACAGAACGACTTATTTCATGTTCATAACCCGACGAACTGCAACTGCTCAATAGACCAGTTATGCTAAGAAAAACTGGTTGGCTCAGAAGCTTTCTGACATCTGGAGGCAGGAGAGTGAGGCACCTGCTCAGGGACCACAGATGTGGCCAGGGATGAGGCTGCGTGGCAGAGCCAGGCCAGCTGGAGTCACACTGGGGTGGGACAGGAATGCCAGGCTGGGGTGGGATTTGAGGAGGGAGGAAGAGGGGCTGGGTGCCTGCAGAGTAAGATGGTGTTCTCCTTGTGGCAGTTCATTCCAGAAAGGCTGCTGGCCACTTCCTGTGCACCCCAGTGCCTGGTCCCCCTGTGGGGAAAGGTCTGGAAGTAGGGGGACATCCCACATCATGATGACTTTGGTCCAGCCACAGCCTGTGGCCTGTACCCTCCTCTGAGCTCACAGTCCTAGGGCTGTGTGGTCATCGGCAGCTTATGAAACCCTCTCTGTCCCCAGGCTGAGAGTCTCAAACAAGTAGAATTCTGAGTCATTTCTCTCTCCTTGGCACCCAGTGAAGACCCAGTCCATAGTAGCTGCTAGGGAGTGCTTCTTGAAGGAATGACCTGGTAAGTAATGGGACGACAGAATGGATGGATGGATGGATGGATGCATGAATGCATGAATGAACCCACTGGAAAATGAGCATCATTTTTCCCTATCATGTTCCCATTATACAAAGGCATTCAGGCCCGAGACTGAGGCCTCAGCTAATAGGAGATGTCTGTGCTATGAAATAACTGTGACCTGCAGTATGACAAATCTAATGACAGCCTGACTAAAGCAAACGGTGCCCTCCATGATCATCACAAAAACAGAGCTTCAGGTGTCCACCCTCTAGTGCCCAGTTGCTAGACTGCACCACTGCTTAGTGTCTGGCTATTTGCAAGAACAAGTTGAGCAGGGCTTTCTGAATTAGGGACATAAGGGGTTCGATTGGGAGTCATTCCACTTTTCTGCTCCCAGAGGAAGAGACCTTGACTTTGCACATCCTGTGTCCCCAGCAGGGAGCTTTAAGCCAGGACTCAAACACCCTTCCAGCAACTCTGTGTCAAGTACCTGTTGGGGAGGTAATTGATGCATTGAATGGAGGCAGTGCTTCCCAACCAGTGTGCTGGGACTTTTGCAGCCCGCAGGACGTTAGAAAGGCAAGGCTGGCGGGGCTGGAGTCCCAGAGAAGTCTCCCCGGGCTGCAAGCCCTGGGTGCTGCCAAGAGATGTCCTCTCACCTGGGCATCTGTTGCACTGCATGGCCTGCCCTTCACAGACAAGATATGGCTGAATGGTGGGAGTCGGGCGCAGGCATCCTGGGCCTCTGTTCATCTGTGACACCCTGGTATTTACAGGTGACTGCTCTGACAATGTGTATACTTTTGCGAAATAGAATTTCATTGATGGTTTTCAAAAATTTAATATAGAGAAGTTTGACTGAAAATCCATTCATATTAACCCCCGCAAAAAAATCAGCATCACAAGTGTCAAAGAAATAAAAGAAAGGACTGTTAGATTACTTAAGCTTGATTTCAAATGGTGACCATTGTTCTGAATGTTTTCATTGCTGTTGTTCTTGATTTTTTTTATCAGTTTACTTGGATGGGAAAATTTCTAGTTGGTGTTTAGAATTTAAAAATCTTGCTCAGAAGTTTCACTTGGTCATTTCAGATCTAAAACCTGATTATTAAAAAAAATAGATGCAAATTCAAGTTTTTCGCTAAGAAGGTATTTTATTTATGAGTTTTATACAATATTTAGTGTTTTCTCTAATATTTTATGTTGTTTTACACATCTTCATTATACATGCTAAAGAAAATAAGATGACTTTTTTCACTAGCCCCGTACGTGGCCCCAAGTTCCCTCAGTTAACCCCCGTGTACAAGGCAAATGTTATTATGCATGCCATGGAAGAATGCTGGAAGCCACTTGGCTAGAGGGCTGCCCATCCGAACTCAGAAGTGCTAACGTTCTTTAAAATCCTTGTTAAAAGTATGAAATTCTGGCATAGGCTTGGATTTTAACAACTCAAAGCTCTTTTAACTGGAAAAAAATATATATCAAAGGTCAGGCTCTAGAAAAGTTGTAAAACTTGGCTGCCAAAGTTAATCTGTGGTAGATTGTCTTTTCCAAGGATGACTGCAGCGCTGGCTTCCCTCCCCCACGGTCTTCTTACTCTGTGACTTTGACATTCCTTCTATAATGAAATGGGGTCTCTTCCTCCTCTAAAGTCTGGATTTGTGACTATGGTGGGAGCCATGTCGTGTGACTTCCAAAGCTGGTCACAGGAAGTGATGCGCGTTCTTCCCGGCACTTTTCATACACTGCTTCTTGGCTCTCAGGCTCCGTACTGTGCGGAAGCCCAAGCAGCCCCCAGGGGGAGTTTATGTGTGTGAAGAAACTTATTTGACAATAAAAGCAGTAACATCTAAGGATTGATGACCAAAGAAATATATTACATCACTTTTTGTAATAGTCCCAAATTGGCAGTGTAGCCAATTGGTGAGAGCACGGAATTTCTGGAAAAATCCCAGCCTGGCTTTTACCAGCTACGTGGCTTAAGTCAAGTTCCTGAATGTCCCTCTGCCTCGGTTTCCTCAGAAGTGAAGTGGAGATGATACTAATAGTACATCCCTCACTGTGTCGTTTTTAAAAGGTTAAATAAGTTAATGTTTGCCGCTCAGGTTAGAACGCTGCCTGGCACAGAGCAAGAGAGGTATGAGTATTTGTTTGCTGATTAGATAAAAATAAAGAATTGTACATGGTCACGTGGGGTCTGGAATCAGACGGGTTGGGTTGGAGGTTTGCTTGACCTTTCTCACCAAGGAGCCCAAACAAGCCTTGTAGCTTTACCTGAGCGTTGGCCTTCTGGCCACTTGATGAAGGTGATGATGGGGTGGGGCGCGGGGGGGGGGGGCTTTGGGTTGTTGCAAGAATCAAATCAAGCATGCCTCTGGTACCAAAATGCTGATAAGCAAGATGTCAATGTTGGCTGTTGTCATTGTGATGATTTTTCTGGTCATCAGAATCCCTGGCCTGTTGGGGCCGCAGAAAGAGCACGAATGCCTTCAGTGCCATTAACTGTTAGCCTGCCCCGTTGTGCTGAAAGCTAAATAAGGGGAGGTAAGTTGGAGGTCCTGCCTTCCAGAAGCCCACTTTCTTCTGTTTCTGGCAGACAAATGAACACCTGACTTACACTGGAGGGAGGTGCGTGTTGTAGCGGATGAAGTACATGGTCCAGGGTGCAGGGAAGGCTTCCTGGCAGGGACATAGTTAACTGGAGGCCTGGGTGTGCCTGTCACTAGCTGTGTGATGTGGGACAGAGACCTCTGTGAGTTTTGGTTTCCTCATCTGTAAAGTAGTTAGAAACCGAATACAGCAAAATACATGCAAGCACTGTCGCAGTGGTAAATAACACGTGTTGCTTTCTGCTCCGTGCTCTCCTAGCCATGAATATCCATGATGACAGCAATGGGAGGGGCTCCTTCACCCGAATTCAAATCAAGCAAGTTCACCCAGAGGCTGCCCATGGCGGGAGGGGTGGAGGCAGGCGGGGGCTGGGATCTGAGCTGTTCAGAGCTCCATCCAGGATGAAGGGAATTTCCTGAAATGGGCTTTGCTGTCCCACGTTCCTTTTATGAAACATGGGACTCTTCCTGCATCCATAAAGATGAAGACATTCTTTCGCAGGGATTTAATTTCGGGGCTGCGTGCCTGGGCCCTGAGAAAGCCCAGGCTTCCTCCTCCTTTTGAATCTAACCCGGGCAGCTTTGTGCGCACCAGACGAGACTGCATTCCCCTTAATGCCCTTGGAATCGCTTACTCACACCGAAATCCGCTGCCTCAGGGCTTTCCAGCCAGCGGTAAGCCTCCTTTTCATGGGCAATCAGGCAGCAGCCTGGAGCAGAGGGGGGAAGGGGGGCCCGCGTGCCCCGCTGGGTCTCTGTAGACAGTGGAGGGCAGAGGCCTCTCCCTGACCCCAGGAGATGGGCCCAGGCCTGGGGAGAAGCTGTGCAGCGCAAATGGGGAAACTAAGGCTGGGTGAGACACTGGACCGCTTGCGTCAGTATGTGGGTTTAAACCAGACAAATTTCCCAAGTCACCCCAGAGCCCCCACTACCTTCTGACGGGGGTTGCCTTTGACACTTGCGAGGAGCTCACTATCCTGCTGTCCCTGGCTTGGGGTCTGAGGGCAGAAGGCGAATGCTTTCAGAGGAGTGGGTCTGAAGGTGGGACACATCCACCAAAGGCCCCTCTGCTCCTCTTCCTGGGGACGTGACGCACAAGCTTGTGTCTCCAAAGGCTGCATTCGGTGCAAGGTGGGAGCAGTGTGGGTTGACGCTGCCTCTGTGCACGGCAGGTCTGGGGGGCTTTTGTTCAGCAAACATTTACGGTGAGCCCACCATGTGCCAGGTATCCTACATGCCAGGTGCTTGGGATTCCAGGGGCAGTAGGGTGGACATAGCCCCCCATGCCCTGCCAACCTCCGCAGTATGAGTGGAAGAAGGAGCGTGGATGTGGGTCCAAAAGAGGTGGGCTTGGTCCCCATCTTCCGCTTATCAGCTCTGGGTCCTTCCACCGGTGACCTGTTCTGCATTGCAGTGTCTTCACCTGCAACACGTGTGTGGCCCTAAGGACTCTTTGGAGGGATCAGCTGATGTTACGTAAGTGTAAAGGTCCATGCCCTCTCTTGCCTGTCACCGCATCTGTAAATTGAGGTCCAACTCTGCCTTACACTCAAGATTGCTCTGAGTAGTACAGTGCAGTGGTTACACACACTGCCTTCAGGGTCCAACAGTCCTGGGTTCCAATTCTGACTCTGCCACATACTGTGTGACCTGGGGCGTGGTCTTTAGCCTCTTTGGACCCCCGTATTCCCAACTGTAAACTGGAGATGATAATAGTAGCACCTAGCTCAGACTGTGGGTATGACAATTAAATGATGCAATTCAAAAGTAAATTTTAAAGTTATTAAAACTTAAAAGTAAAGAGCTCTGCACAGAGGTGTTCCCAGTAAGCCCTAAAGAAATGTGAGCTGTACTTTTAATCATTCATATTCTTATAATCCAAAGGCTAATTACAAGGTATTTTTCTCTTTCCACATGTTATATCTTTGGACCAGTCCAAAAAAAAAAAACTTGGAAACACTTATACAGTGCAAAGACAGAGTTATGAGAAACTGTGGAAACAACCCAAAACCTTTGGAGAATTGACCTCAAAGATGTAAGCTCTGTTTGTGTTGTGGTCCTGCACTCAAGAGCATCTCGCCAGGTGATCACCAGGTACTCCTGGCATCACATGCCACACGGGAGGATGCAGAGTTCTCAGCCCCCTTTGCACTTGGCCCTTCACTTGGTGGAGGGTGGGGTCTGTGGCTAACTGGCCTCTTTCTGTCCGAAGGAGGTGCTGAGTGTCCAGGCTGTGCTCTCTGCTCCTCCAGCAGCCTCTGCCCATCCACCCCTGGCCTCCAGTGCCACTGTCTGCGCCCTTGGACTCAGAGCTGAGTTCAGGTGCTGAGTCACCTCCGGTGAAAGAAGAGGGGGCCTCCGCCACTTAGAGCAGGAAGGGCTGGGAGGGGACATTCACTCCGACATTGCCCCTTGGGTTCTATTACGCCTAAAAGGAAACTGAGGTATAATGAAGGTTAAAGACTTACCTAGGTCATAACAGGAGTCGAGGACTCAGCCAAGGCTAGAAGCACCATCGGACCCCCAGATTACAGCTGGACACTGGGGTTATCTGGGCACAGCTACAGTGCAATGCCTGGACCGATTAAATCAGAATCTCTGGGGGTGGGACCCAGGCATTGATGTCTGACACCAAAGGCTGTACACCACTGCATTAGAGCGAGGAGACCCCGCGTGAACACTAAGGGCCTTGATTCACATTCTATTCATGCCCAAACCGTATGTCAGAGATTCTGATGTAATTGGCTGCACACCAGGATCATTCAAAACTCCCAGATGATTCCAAGGAGCAGCTAAGTTTGAGAGCCACTGTTTTAACATAGCATCTTAATTTAACTTTCAAAGTCTATTTGCTCTTCAAGGAAAATCATAACCTTTAATCATATCCAAAAAAAAATGTACCTGTTCAGCTGAGGTGCAATCCACTGCCTGTTAATCTGCACTCACATTCCAGGAAACAGAAGCATTTGTAGTTATGAGACTATTAATCCGCGATTTTGTCTTCACGCGTAGGTGTAGTTAGACTTGCTCGTGTGTCACTCGGTTACAGTCATTCGCCAATTCAACAGAAACGTATTGAGTTTGCTCTAGTATAAGCAGTTATGAGTTTAAAGGATCATTCTGAACCAACAACATCGTAAATAACCATCTTTAATACAACAGAAAGAATATACGTTTAGCCCGTGCCATGAAACGTTCTGTCTGAACATATGGTCCTTATAAGTTGAGTTTAGTTAGAATTTGTAATTTGCTGAGGAAACGTTCTGGGATGGGACTTTCACTCGAATCAGATGGAAATCCCTACGCTCACTTTTTTTTTTTTTTACAGTAAGATTGCCTAAAATTCCAAAGCCTTTTAGCCTCTTTATTCACCTGCCAACTATTATGAGGAAGCTCCAGGAATAAGCACCTCCACCACTCAACCGCTGTTCTCATAGGGGAGACCCTAAACGCAGTCGCAGAGAGCACGTTTTGAATAAGCAAAGCAAAGACCTCGCTGAGCACAAACCCCAGGGCTGCCCCAGCATCCCCCGGCGGGGAACACTGCCCAGGGCCCCCAACACCCACACGGTCCTCCCCCTTCTCGGACCCTCTGCTGTCCGCAGGCACCCAGGCAGGAGCCCTAGTTCTCCTCGACACGCAGGGGACCCTCGGGGCTTCCAGAGGCTGTGAGTGACAATCACCTACCCTTATCAGTTCTCCGTCCAACACTCAGAGTCACAAAGCTGGCTGGAAAAGTGATAAGGGGATGTGACTGGCCGGCCAAGACGTTCTGATGAAGCTTATCGGAACAATAGGAAAGCTGACATTTGATTTCCAGGTTGAAACGTCCACTTGATCTCTGCGACTCCTCCCCTCGCTCCCAAAGCCCCTCCATGACCTTCTGCTTTGCTCTGGCCTCTCCCCAAGCCTCTCCTTTTGACATTTGGCGAGGCTTTCCTGTTTCTGCAGACAGAAATTGAGACATGCAACCCTGGATAGCTATGGAAAGTAGTGGACTCTTCACATTTTTTTCTGAAAAACCGATCAAAATTGTAAATGAATTGAAATGTCAAAATTAATAAATAAACCAAAGTTAGCAAAGGCTTTACCCAGCAGCTCCTGCAGGTCTGAGGCAGGGGGCCCCGGCACGTTCTCCTCCTCCCGGGCTCTGTGTCTAAGCCCACACCCACATGCCATTCATAAAGTCCCTACTCTGAGTCTCCTCCTCCTGCCAGGATTGGTCCTCCAGAGGTGCTGGCCCCAGGCCAGGACCCATCAGCTGCAAATCTGCTTGAGCTGGATTGTCCACTGTGCTGTGTGGCCTCGATGGGCTCAGGCTAGGGTGGAGTCTGGGTCTAATGGTGAGTTCTCCGGCATCCAAGCTCCCTGCCCCATTGTGTCGGATTCTCCCCTCTTGATGGCTGGCCTTCCACCCTGATCCACACACACAGTCCCTGGAAACCAAACACTACTGACATGGCTTCAATTGTGGAGGCCTTAAGATGTTTCTTTACATCAAGATGAAACCAAGAATAATTGCTGGTGTCCAGGAATGGGTTTCTATAGAGTATCGCACTGTGTGAAGACCATCAGCTTTGGATCCCATCTGCCTGCCGCTCACTTCCTGACTGTGTGACCTTGAGCAAACTAAGAATCTCTGAGACTTGGTACCTGCTCTATGAAACAGATAGGACCGCCTACCTCCCAGGATTGCTGTGAGAATTAAATGAGAAAAGAGATGGAAAGTGCTTATGCTTATACCTAAGTTCAGATCCCACGACAGGTGCTTCCTGGTTACATGGCCTTCAGCAGGTCTCTTAAACTATCTAAATCTTAGCTTCCTTTTTTGCAAATGTGGGGATTAGAATAGCTACCTCAAAGGGTTGTTCTGAAGATTAAAATAGATACACAGTATAAGGGTAAGAGCATGGCCTTTGTACTTAATTGGCTTGGATTTAAATCCTGATTTTGTCAGTTACTGGCTCTGTGAAGTCACTCAGCCTCCCAGAGCTTCACTTTCTACATCTGCAGAGCAGCTGTGACCATCCCAACAATCCTACCCCGTAGGGTCGTAGTGGAGATTAAGTGAGGTGAGCTATAAGCCCTAAGCACAGAGAATTCAACAGAAATGTAGCTGAGGTCATTGAAGGGATAATATAATCACTGACAGTGGACTTGACCCAGGAGATGCCCACCAGGTGGCCACTATTTCAACTGATGTTCCACAAGGTGCATTCTTTGGGCCTCTTGGATGGCTTCTCCAGGGTCGGGCCAGTCACGTCCCAGAGATGAAGTCCTGCTCCACCTGCATCCTGTAGGGAAGGCATCGACTAAGGACCCACAGAGCTTTGGAAACCAGGTCCTTACTCAGGACCAAATGATTCTACAGCCCCAGACTTCTGACTCTTGAGGGTGAAGGAAAAACAAACGAATCAGGGACTCTGGGCAGTGGAATAATGAAGCCAGTCCCAGAACTCGAGTTGATGAGAGTTTTTGTGTTCAAGGAGTCCAGGTGTGTGGAAAGAAGGAAGACCCTGACCTGAGATGGTCTGAGCTCGCTCCAGGGTCTTTAAGGTCAGTCACTGGGGGAAGCTGGGCCGTATGGTGACAATACATGTGTTTCTCTTTGGTCCAAACCCCTTGTTTTACACATGGGAAACCAGAGCCCAGGTTGAAACTCCGCCAAAACCCCAAGGATGCAGCTCTCTGGTCTTTGACGTTAGATCAGATCAGGTATCTGATGCAGATCACAAAGCAGGTGTTTTCAGAGAAGTGATAGGAGTCCTGAGCAACAGGAGGAAGAAACTGGTAAATGACCAACGGCTAGAACTGCAGGGCCCAGTCAGCACCCCTCAAAGACCCAAATTGTGACAGAAGAGAAAATGCAATGGCTCATTTATTTGTCCAAGAAAGCAGTTGCCCTATTTCAGGGATCCTATCACCCTTGTCTTCACAACATGTGCCTTGGTCTCTGTAAACATTCACAGGAGCCTGGAAACCAGGAAGGTACTCTGGAATGTTCAAGCCTGGAGAGTGTCTAAAAAGACATCTCCTTGCTCTCGCCCATGCCCAGCCTACAGGCTAACACTTTGACAGGAAGAAAGAGCTAAGTTTCAAAGACCCCTGTCCTCTCGTCTCGCTTTCCTGGTCCAAATGACGTTCACATTTGGGTGTTTAAATAAGACAGATTGAAATGTATATTTCTTCTAACCTTTCCATTGGATTCATTTGCATGGAACTTTTTCATTATAATTCGATTCATCCAACAGGCATTGATGAGACCATTTATTGCCAGGGACGGCTCGAGACACTGGGGACAGAGGGGTGAATTCAGTGTCTGCACTCAAGGAAGTGAGAAGCTCGGAGCTGATACCCTTCAGCAAGTGGGCCGTTCACCCTGTCTGGGGGAGACTGCAGTAAGGTGACTTCTGGCTCTGCCTAGGAGCAGAGGGAAGGGATTGAAGATGAAGAGAACAGCTTATGAAGGTATGAAGGT